ATGCGACTTCTTCATTTTTTCGATTTCTTCCTTGAATTCGTGATTTTGAATAAATTCAACGATTTTCAAGAATGCCCAATTAAGCTCCTTTGATGTCGGAATAAGAGCGTTGGCTCTCTCATTTTTCTTAGTGATAAAACGTAGAATGTACGCGAAAATTCTCAGTAGTCTTGGGTAAGATGATTGGCTACAGATTAGTTTTGAAATGACATTAGGTTCAATTTCAACTGCTAAAAGTCCGACCTTGACCTTTCGTTTCTCTAAACTTTTCTCATCTGTTGATAGTGGAAAATGACTATTTTTTGGCCAGTTAGTGGCATCTTGAAGCAAATATGATGGGCCACGAAACCAAATTGAGTGAATCAACTCATCTACATCACATCCTCTGGAGACTAAGTCTGCAGGATTTAGCTTTGATGGAACGTGTCTCCAAAGAACTTCGCTCGTCCATTCTTGGATCTCTGCCACTCTGTTTGCTACAAATGTTGCTAAAGTAGATGGGTGAGTTTTAATCCAATGAAGTGTAATTTCAGAGTCCGTCCAAAAATAAACATCCCCGATTTCCCAAGTAATCAACGGCTGAATTCGAGACCATAGTTTAGCCAATAAATGAGCGGCACACAGCTCTAATCTGGGTAATGATTTTGTGCTTAGAGGAGCAACCTTAGATTTGGCAGTTAACAATTCAGAATGAATCCCATTCGAATCATGAATTCGGACGTAGATGCAACAGCCGTACGCTCTCATTGACGCATCGGCGAAACCGTGAATATCGCATTTTATATTTGAATGAATATGAACATACCGCGGATTGGAAATAGAGTCCATCTGAGTCAGGTTGCTTTTAAATGCTTGCCAGCTAGAATCGAGATGCATAGGAATTGACTCATCCCAGTCAAGCTTCTGAAGCCAAAGTTCTTGCAATAAAATTTTTGCCTTAGTCACTATTGGGCATACTAGTCCGAGGGGATCGAAGAGTCGAGCTGATACTGATAGTATGTTTCTTTTTGTTGCTCGCAAGTCATGAAACTTTTCGTCTACACCTCATTACTATATACCGCATCAGTGTGTGTTGCGACCTCAGAGTACCTCGACAAAACTTCGCGTCGTGTTCGATGCTTCATGCCGAACATCTTCACAAGTGTCGTTGAACGACATTCTAATGGTTGGTCCAACGGTACAGGAAGAATTGTATTCAATCCTACTTCGCTTTCGTATGCACAAATACGCGATGACTGCTGACATTACAAAAATGTACCGTCAAATCGAAGTTGACGAGGCAGATCGCAATTTTCAGCTTATTCTCTGGAGGGAGAAACCTACGGATCAGATTAGCGTTTATAAACTGAACACAGTGACATATGGTACTTCACCTGCTCCTTTCTTGGCAACACGTTGCCTAAACTACTTAAGTGACCTGTACAAGAATTCTCATTCAGTTGGAGCAAGGGTTATCCGACATGACTTCTATGTCGATGACCTATTGACTGGAGCTGACAGTCTGAAGGAACTGGAAACAATTCGTACCCAATGTACTGAAATTCTTGATGCGGCTGGACTTAAATTAGCGAAATGGTTTTCAAACCATAAAACGTATGACTCGTCAGACTTCTTTCTAAATGTTAATAATACTGATTCCACAAAGGCGCTAGGTATACACTGGATTCCCCAGAATGATACGCTTAAGTTCCAATGTTGAATGTTTTCATTTTTATATTGCATTTTTTGTTTAAAGTAGTTAAAATAAAACGCGTGCTGCTCATTTTTATTGTTAATATGCAACCCAATGTTGACTTTCGTCAACCTTGCACATTACATACGGTAATCTTAAAAAAACAACAACTTTAATTTTATACAGTTTTTTAGCTTCCAGACTGAACTGGGTTTTTTGATTCTCTCTCTTGCATTTCAAGTCCCAAGTGAACAGCACGCGTTTTATTTTCGATTTTCGAAGTGATTTATTAAAATTTTAATTTCTTAAATAAAGTGTAATTATTTTGAATAAAATACTTTCGTTGTAACTTTCGTTTTTTATAACTTCAATAAATACAAAAATTCTTGTATTTTTTCATTGGCGCCCGAGCAGGGACTTGAAATTAAATAATAAATAATTTAAAAAATTACGAAAAGTGAAATTTAGTGATTATTGTTCGGTGAATGTTGGTGTGGTGAAGTATCAGCACCAGACAAAAACCGCTAATAAAAAAAAAATTTTAAACTAAATTTCGTGAATATATTCTAGAGCTGCAACTGGTAGCATCGTAATCTTGATTCGTTCTTTATGGTTTATTTGCCGCGTGTGAAGTGGTTGTGAAGTGAATATCAGTAAAATTGATTAAAAGGAAAATTCCGCAAGCAGTAACTGGATTTGTAAAATACCAGCATCAGCTAGTGAAAAAACCGCTATTGTAAAAGGAAACACGTGCAGACTGCTGTTATACTGTTCTTCATTGCTGTTCGCTGCCAGCAGATCGCTGCTGTCATTAACTGCTATTGCTCTTCGTCGCTGTTCGCTGCTACTGCATATCGCTGCTGCCATTCACTGCTTCAGCTCTTCATCGCAGTTCGCTGCTACTATACATCGCTGCTGTCATTCATTGCTTCAGCTCTTCATCGCAGTTCGCTGCTGTCATTAACTGCTATTGCTCTTCATCGCAGTTCGCTGCTACTATATATCGCTGCTGTTATACTGTTCTTCATTGCTGTTCGCTGCTGCTGCAGATTGTCGCTGCTATTCACCGCTGCTGTTGGTTTTCGTTTTTTTCTGGATGGCGTGCCACTGTAACACCACTGCCGTTTGCCAGGTAAGAAAGTGCAAATAATGAAATTGTTGTACCAGGTCATGCTCTGACTAAACAAAATAGTCAAGAAAGTATTTTAAATAACTTTGCACTGGTAATTATTTGCACTTTTAAAACACATATATTTTTCTATTTCTATAATAAATTATTTGACAAACGTGAAACAAATTTACGAAGCTGAGGTTGAGCTTCATTAACAAATACGTTCGGTAAATCCAATTATTTAATACAAATAATTGAGTAATTTGCAGGGGCAAATTATATACAAAGTGAATGCATTTTTCGTTTTCGTTTTCGCCAGTTACTTGCAACCACTTTGTTGGAATTTACCCATAATCACAATATTGATTATTTATCGTTTTTTATTATTCTATAAACAAAGTGAGTGCATCTTTCGTTTCGCTAATTTCTCGCGTTTACTTTGTTGGAATTTACTTACAACCGTCGCTCAACAGTATTCAAATACTCTTATCGTTCTTTGCGCTGCATTGCCTTCTCTCTTAAAAAATTTAGTAAATTGTGTTCACTATGTCAACAAAAAAGCGAGCATCATCCCCACAAAAAAATGAAGAATTGGATAAACTACTCCAGCAGCGAGAAACTGTAGTGGCCAGTATCTTGCGTATTAAAAAAGTAATTTCTGAAAAAACTGTTGATTTAAACCCTGTAGAACTGGAATGTAGGTTGGACATTCTCAATTCATACATTAAACAGGCCATGACTTGCCAACAAAAAATAGAGTGTATCAACGAGTTTGATGTATTTCGGCCAGATCTAGAAGAAATCTGCGTTGCTTCGAAATCATTGTTTCTACAGGCGTTAGGTAAAAACCGCAAGTCTAGTATCCCTGATACTTCGCATGAATGCAGCAATCATCGTTCCAGGCTGCCAAGTATGCGTTTACCTAAATTTAGTGGGAAACATTCTGAATACAAAAACTTCATAAGCCTTTTTGAAAGCTTAGTGCACAATGATCAGTCGCTAACTGATATTGAAAAATTCAATCATCTCATTTCGTGTTTGTCTGACGAAGCTCTTGGTACAGTTAAGGCATTTCAACTCACTGAAACTAATTACTCAAAGGCATTAGCTAGTTTAAAAAGAGTTTACGATAACACTTGTCTAATCTTTTTCGATAGTATCTCGCAGCTTTTTGAACTGCCAGAAATGAACAAGCCATCTGCTTCTGCATTACGCAATATCATAGATACTGTTTCTGCCATATATGAGTCCCTATTGTCAATAGGAGATGATAAGAACATTTCAAATGCGATTCTTATTCATTTAGTCATGTCAAGAGTCGATGCCGCCACGAAATCTAAATGGGAGGAACAATTAGATTACAATAAGCTGCCGCTCTGGTCTGATTGCGAGACTGCGTTAAATAAGCGATACCAACACATTTCTGCTGACGAAGCTTCTACGTCAAGGTCTCGATCGAACAGGCCAAAACAAGACAACTGGCAAGGTAAGAATGTAAAATCGTCACTTATGTGCAAGAAAAATAGTTCGCAAGAGGAAAGTAGATGTTTGTTCTGTAATGCGAAGGAACATGTAATAAATTCATGCTCCGCCTTTGCTGCCCTCTCAGTTACTGAACGGTTCAATTTCATTAAATCATCTTCGGCATGTATAAATTGTCTCAAGAAAGGGCACACGGTATCTAGATGCAAGGCGTCACGCTGCAGAGTGTGTAATCGGTCGCACCATACTCTTTTACACCAATATTCTACTAACACTCCTCAAACAGGTTTATCTTATAATCCAGAACAACCTATTATTTCTCGTGCCTCTGTGAATCATAGCTCATCGAATGACGATCAAATTATTCTAGCCACTGCAGTCATAACCATTCAAGGAAAATCTGGAGAGTATCAGCTGGCCAGAGCACTGCTCGATTCCGGTTCTCAAGTCAACCTTATAACCGAGGAACTTGCACAACGACTGCAACTAAAAAAAGAAGCGAAAACTCTAAACCTAATTGGCATTGGTGAAACAAACTCCACAGTACGGCAAAAATTACATGCCACTGTGAGATCACGTATTAACTCTTATGAGTTTTCTACTGATTTTTGGGTAATGCCTTCAATCTCCACTTACCAACCCGACAAATTTGTGTCAATGAGTAATTGGAATGTTCCTTCTAATCTTTCACTTGCTGATCCGCACTTTCACAAACCGCAAAAGATAGATCTTCTACTTGGTGCCGAAAGCTTTTTCGAACTGTTGTCGATTGGACAAATAAAACAAGGTACTAATCTTCCAATTCTCCAAAAAACTTTACTTGGATGGATTGTATCAGGAAAATATAAAGATGTCCCAAGTAATGTATCTAAGATATGCAATTTAATACGCCTTCAAGAAGCAGAGTCAACAGGTGATTTCTGCTTAAACTCTCTTGTGAAAAAATTCTGGGAATTGGAAGAAATTCCCAAGGAGCTCACTGTCAAAAAATACACAATAGAACAACAACACTGTGAGACCAAGTTTCTCAACACAATTTTACGCTTACCTTCAGGGAGGCTTAAGGTGCAGCTTCCTTTCAAGTCCAACCCCAACCTTCTAGGTCAGTCATATGAAACAGCAAAAAATCGTTTTCTCTCACTGGAACGCAGGTTGTCGAAAGACTGTATGCTTCAGAAGCTGTATATGGAGTTTATGGCAGAGTATCGTGACTTAGGTCACATGACATTAACTACTGACAACTTTTCTTCGACACCTCATTACTATATACCGCATCAGTGTGTGTTGCGACCTCAGAGTACCTCGACAAAACTTCGCGTCGTGTTCGATGCTTCATGCCGAACATCTTCACAAGTGTCGTTGAACGACATTCTAATGGTTGGTCCAACGGTACAGGAAGAATTGTATTCAATCCTACTTCGCTTTCGTATGCACAAATACGCGATGACTGCTGACATTACAAAAATGTACCGTCAAATCGAAGTTGACGAGGCAGATCGCAATTTTCAGCTTATTCTCTGGAGGGAAAAACCTACGGATCAGATTAGCGTTTATAAACTGAACACAGTGACATATGGTACTTCACCTGCTCCTTTCTTGGCAACACGTTGCCTAAACTACTTAAGTGACCTGTACAAGAATTCTCATTCAGTTGGAGCAAGGGTTATCCGACATGACTTCTATGTCGATGACCTATTGACTGGTGCTGACAGTCTGAAGGAACTGGAAACAATTCGTACCCAATGTACTGAAATTCTTGATGCGGCTGGACTTAAATTAGCGAAATGGTTTTCAAACCATAAAACGTATGACTCGTCAGACTTCTTTCTAAATGTTAATAATACTGATTCCACAAAGGCGCTAGGTATACACTGGATTCCCCAGAATGATACGCTTAAGTTCCATGGCTGTGGCTCTGAGGATGAGGAGGAGACTGTACTCCATCTCATGTGTCAGTGCCCTTCCCTAGCCAGAAGAAGATTAAAAATCCTTGGATCTCCTTTTCTAACTGACCTGACTGAGTTGTCATCCTGTAATGTTAGGGACCTAGCCAGGTTCATAGAACTGTCAGGTTGGTTTTCCTTTGCATAATGGGGGAGTCGTTACCTTTCTTTCGGCGTTAAATGTATACTGATTAAATCTATATACAAATAACGTTACTCCTGTGGTACCACAACGGGCCTTTATTTGTGCTTAAGTGGGCTTTTTGGGATACAAGGCCGCCACTCCAACCTATACCTATACCTATAGGAGGAACCATAAGCGCAACATTGTTCATAAGGAAAACAAAGAATACTGTGTGCAGCTTGACTACTGTGTGATCATGGCTGAATCAGCATAAACAGTAAGTAAGCTTCAATGTACTTGAAATAGAGTAAACAGGAAGCGTTACTTTGTGTGTAGGATAAATTCCTAAACAAAACTGTGATATTGCGCTTTGTCTTTTATTTGTCTTAATACAAAGTAAGACAAAACTTAATTCGACAAATATGTGGAATAAATCCACATAACACCTCCGCCCTTAAAGAAAGGCAATGACATAGTAATTGACTTTACTTCCAAAAGCAAATCACATCAAACAGGCATGGCCAACCCCAACTTTGACTTCAATTAATCCAAATCAATAACTTTATTAAAACATATATATATATATAACAATATTTAAATTTTCATACAGGTTTTGCTTAACATAAATAATAAAATTTTTTTTATATATGATTAAATAAATTTTTTTTTTATATGATTAGGTTAACTAATTTCTTTCTTACAGTATATGCTTATCGGATATTTGAAATGTTTTATAATAAATTTACAAAATATTAAATATATTTATTTATATATTTACCATTCATAATTGTATTTATTTTTAAAATTATTGTGTTCAACAGTTACTTCGCCATCAGATTTTTCAGTAGTATATACAACAATATTATTCCTTAAGGGATTTGGTGACTCCTTTTTTACATTAAAACATTTATTAAATATATTTATACATAAATTTCCTTTTATACATTTTACAATAATTATTATCATAATTATGGTTATAAATAATGACATTAATCCGTACCAATATGAGTTGGAATTCAATTTAATAGAATTTAGAGACTTTGATATAAAACTTTTCTGATTATTTATTTTAATACTTAAATCATCAATATTTTTAATATTACTAGGTTTTAGTTTAGATAATAATTCAATTTCTTCTATTTCATTAATCTTTATGTTTAAACAGCAATCATCAGAATAACCAAAATATAGGTCGTTAAATACAGTTTCATTTTTGTTATCAGATATTATAATTTTATAATCTACAGTTTCGAACTTACAATTAAAATCAAAATACAATATACCAACTCCATTCAAATATCCTTTTTCTTTAATTTTATTTTGTTTACATTCATATTTATATTTTATTTCATTGGTTACGGCGTACATATATTTATTATCATTTATTTTCATGTATGTCTCTACATTATAAGGTATGTATTTAATTTGACAACGATTACTGTTTCGTTTCATGAAGTTATTTAAAACACAATTTTCTACAGTAATAGTTGATTCAGATATTAATTCATTAGCCAACAGATAGCTATTATCAACAACTTCGAAATCATTTAAATTATCAAACATGGCAAAATATTCCTTATCCCTAGATATTAAAAAATAATTATTTTCTTTTTCTAATATTACCTGTTTATTCTTCTCAAATATTGAAACTGGTATTACCTGATAGGTATCATAAATGTCCTTTTTGACAAATGGAACTAGAACTATTACAACTATAACCTTCTTGCGTTCAAAAGCTTTAATTTTAGAATACTTTATAATTTGGCTGTATGATTCCAAACTAGGTGTATATAAAAGATTTGGTTCATTTTTACTTTTCAGTAATATATCAATAAATTTTTCTAGACTCAATAACATTGGGTGTATTAATTTTAGTTACATGAATAAAATGATATCAATTAGCCTTTCTAATTCAAATTCAAGATCTAAACAACTGCTTAAGCATGATATAGACGATGAAATTTGTTTGCAAACAAGGTTTGCTGGCTATCAAATTGCATCGTCTATACTCAAGTTTGCAAACCAAAATTTGGTTTGCAAACTAGTTTGCAGTGAAATTAAAATTTTTCAATTATTTGTTAAGTTTGCAAACATGTTTACTTGTGTATATCGAAGTTTGCAAACTTCTCATAATTTAAGAATTTTGGTGAGCGTCGGACAAGCAAAGATTACAGAAAAAAATTATTAATTCTTGGTAAAAAGAAAAATAAATGAAAAATAATTAAAAAATTGCTAGACATTAGACAATTATTGAAGAAGTTTATATATTTTAAAAATTATTTTGTGCTAAAAACATTTTTATAGTAAGCTTTAATATTTAAACAATTATTATATGAATAAAAATTTTAAAATGTAACATATTAAAAAATTGAAACAAAAATAATTTTAGTTTAAAAAATGAAATAAATAACAGGTTGCTATGATCATCACCTCAATTTCTTCAGTTTCAATTATTGTTTTGCACTCTGTACTTACTCCGCTGTTGATATGAACGCTGTAGAAAATAAATAAAAATAAAGTTTGCCAACCTTGTTTCAAAGTGTATAGCAAAGCGCATATTCGGTTTGCAAATTTGGTTTGCAAACAAATTTCATCGTCTATATCATGCTTTACTATTTTTAATTCCATTTCTTGCATGTATTCAAATATAGCCATATTTTTACTATTTTCAATGTTCCTATTTTAATTATTATTTTAATAATAATGTTCCTATTTTAATTATTTATTTTTTAATGTTCCTATTAATGAGTTAAGTTTATTTATGAATTTATTGGTAGTATTCTGTATATCTTCGAAACTTTTCTTTATGTTTAAGTTTTGTTCATTTAAATTTTGAATAATTTTAATTTCTTACTTCAACCCTGTTTTTATAAACTCTTCATTATTATTTATATCCGTTATCACCTTATTATAATATTCAGCATCCTCACTATCCATAGTACCAAATAAAACTTTAAGCCCTGATCCTATTATATTTAATATTCCTCTCTTGTTTCTATTTCCCTTCAAACTGGACTTAATTCCAAGCATATTATGTACTACATTTATTTTTTTTTATTAAATTTTTAAAATGTTGTTTTCCAAAAACAATGATCTCTTCACATTCGTGATAGGAATCTATGCAAGTTTTACATGATGTACTTTACTCCCAAGCCAATTAATTTTATCTTCATAAGAAGTTAGATTTACATTAGTAATTATGGATATGTGACCGTCCACGATTCTGGTTTCCTGTACTTTCTTGAAATAGAAGCTTCCTTTCCCATTAATATCCTCGATTTTAGGAGCGAATATAGCTAGAAAAAAGCTGAACAGTTTAAACAAAATTGGTTTTCAATATATCTTTTAATTAGATTTTTTGAAATTTTTCTTGTTCTACGATTTGTTCTTATAAAGACATTAGCTTCGGTAACTTTTACAATGGTATATGGACCAGTAAAAGTATTCTCTAACTTTTTATTTTTTGTAAGATTTTTCACAACTATCTTTTGACCTACTTCATAATTAGGTGTATCTGTTATATTTTTATCATAGATTAATTTTGACTTTTCCTTACAAACTGTTGTATTTTCTTTTACTTGCTTTTCGATGTTCTGTATAATAACTTTTATATTATTGACATATCCCGCTATAGTTACTAAATCTAAAGCGTCAATTCCACTCGGTCTATTTCCTTTCCTTCCAAAAACTATAAGCTGTGGAGGAATGAGTTGTTGTGTTATAACATAAACCTGCAAACTTCATTGCTTCATCCCAATTCGATTTCTCAAACTCAACTGTATTCAAATATTCTTTCAACCTTCCATGAATTCTTTCTATTTGCTTGTGGATGAGCCACACTAGTAGTAATATGTTTAATCTTAAAGATTTTAGCTAAGTCCTTCATTAGTTCATTACAAAACTCTGTACCATTATCTGTTAATATTATTTTTGGAATACCAAAATAGGTAATCCATTCATTTACAAACGCTTTAGCAACAGTTTCTGCGCTTTTATCTTTAAGTGGTGTAAAACGTACATATTTTGAAAGACTGTCTTGTATACTCAATGCGTACACATTTTCTGCTTCAGATATTGGGTAAGGTCCAGTTAAATCCATGCTGACTTGTTCAAGTGCATTAGAAGCATTTAAAACCAATTGCATAGGCATTCTAGTAGGATGTCTGTCAATTTTACCTAATTGACACTTTTTACAAGCTCTTACATAGTCTGCAACCATATTATTTAAATTTTTCCATGTATACTTTTCTCTAATTTTCGCAATAGTTGCTTTTTGTCCGACATGACCACCTATAATACTATCATGATATTCCTTAATTATTTCTTTCATTTTTTGAGAGTCTGTTACCTCGATCATTTTTCCTCTGTCCTGAACATTTTTCTCAACATTGTTTTTAAAGTTTACTTTAACCGATTCTTTTTCATTATTTTCAATTTCTATTTTCTCCTGAGTATGTTCCCTTTTTTATATTCTCGTTTGATCTGTTCGCTACAACAGCTACAACGTTTCTTTTTCTTTTCTTTTCATGTTACTACTAACACATTTCTACTTAAATGATCAGCTACTACATTTTCAACTCCTTTTTTGTATTCTATATCATACATATACTCTTCTAACTTAAGTCTCCATCGTACTAATCTTGATCCAGGGTCCTTTACATTAAACAACCATTTCAATGGCTTATAATCTGTTCTGATCAAAAATTTCTTTACATACAAATATGGTGTGAATACTTTTACGGCCCAAACAATGGCCAAACACTCTTTTTCTGTTGTGCTATAATTTCTCTCAGCACTATTCAAACTTCTGCTAATAAACTGAATTGGCATATCTTTACGGCCACTCTCTTGTGATAGCACCGCCCCCAGACCTTCATTTGAAGCATCTGTTGTAACAATGAATTTCTTTTCAAAATCTGGAAATTGCAAGGTTACTACACTGGCAAGGCTATCTTTCAGTTTACCAAATGCATTGTCCTGCTCTTCCCCCCAAAAAAACTCAACTTCTTTCCTAAGAAGTTTATTAATAGGTGCCGCTATTTGACTAAAACCTTTAATAAATCTTCTATAATAATTTATTGCTCCCATGAACGACTGTATTTCCTTAATACTCTTTGGAGGAGACAATTTTACTATCGCCGAAACTTTATCTGGATTAGGTTTAACACCTCGTTCTCCAATAATATGACCCAAATATGCGACTTCTTTCCTTAGAAATTCACACTTATCTGCTTGTAGCTTGAGATTGGCTTTCCTTAGTTGCTCCAAAACATCTCTTAGTTTTTCATTATGATCAGTTAAATCTTTACCATATACCACAATATCATCCATGTACACAAAACATTTAATTCCTTTTATTCCTATTAGAATGATATCCATCATTCTCTGAAAAATACTAGGTGCATTTTTCAATCCAAATGGCATTCTCTTAAACTCATAATGCCCATGTGGGGTAGTGAATGCGGTTTTCTCGATGTCCTCCTTAGTCATTTTAATCTGATGAAAACCATTTGTTAAATCAAGTGTTGTAAAATATTTAGACATTCCTAATTGGTCTAAAATCTCGTTGATATTTGGTATTGGATATGTATCCGCCACCGTCATTTCATTTAATTTCCTAAAGTCGACTACCATTCGCCACTTAGCTTTTCCAGAAGCATCTTTCTTTTTCGGAACCATCCACAC